CCCATGTTTTCTTCTGGTGGTGCATAGTCCTGAGGAATGTTCCTGCCTAGAAGTGTCTAGGAAGGACTTTCTTGGTTGTTTAATTTGTATTGGTTCACATATAAGAAACCTTGGATTTCAAGTTGAGATGGTTACCATAGAGAACTGGAGCAGAAACTATAAATATTCAATTAGCATATCAAAATCAATTGAATAGTTTTTCATATATTTGTTGGCCATTTGTATTTCTGTTTTTGAGAGGGTCTGTTTAATTCATTTGCCCACTTATTAATTGAGCTGTTTGATTGTTGTCTAAAACATTTTCTTCATTCTTTATATATTCTAGACACTAATCCTCTGGCAGAATACCTCGCAAAGGTTTTCTCTCATCTCCTAGATTCTCTCGTCACATTCCTTGTTGATTATTTTGCTCTGAAGAAAGGTTTTAATTTGATGGCATGCCTTTATGAACTCTGGACATTATTTGTTGAGCTTTAAGGATCCTATTGAGTAGTTATTTCCTGTGTATGTTTGCCTGTGTGTTGACCCCATGTTTTCTTCTAGGAGTTTAAGTTTCTGGTCTTATTCTTATGCTTAGTTCTCTTTTGTGTTTAACTTTAGGCTGTGTAAAGGGTAAAGTTCTTGTTTCATTTTTCTACATATGCATAATCAGTTTTCCTATTGCAAATTTTTGAAAAAAAAAAAAACTATCTTTTCTGCACTGTGTTTTTGGCATCTTTATCAGGGATCAGATGAGAATAGGTGTCTGTCTTTGTCTCTGTGTCTTCTAGTCTGTATCAGTAACAATAGAAAAATACAAATCAAAATTACACTGAGATTTATCTCATACCATTCTGAATGACAGTCATCAAGAATACAAATAATAATAAACCCTAGAGAAGACATGGAGGAAAAGAAACACTTTTACACTGTTGACATTATAAATTAGTTAACCATAATGAAAATCAGTATCGACATTTCTCAAGACTAGGCATGGAACCACCCATTTGACTCAGCCCTGCCACTCTTCAGTATTTAAATGGAAGAATTAAATTCAACATATGATAGTGATGCATGCATACCCATGGCTATGGCAGCATGATTCACAATATGCAAGCTATAGAACCAATGATGGTGTCCATCTATGGATGAATGATTTAAAAAAATATGGTGGGGCTGGGGATGTGGCTCAAGCAGTAGCACGCTCATTTGGCATGCACCGGGTGCTGGGTTTGATCCTCAGCATCACATAAAAACAAAATAAAGATGTTGTGTCCACTGAAAACTAAAAAAAAAGTATTAAAAATCTCTCTCTCTTTCTTTCTCTTAAAAAAAGAAAATATGGTACACACACAAGATGTATTTTTATTTAGCTAGGAAGAATAAATAACTTATGCCAATTGAAGGAAAATAGATGAAACAGGAATCCACTATGTTAAGTGAAAGAAGGAGAACTGAGAAGTTAAAAATCATGTTTTCATTCCTGTGTGGAAGCCAGAGAAGAAAAAAAATCCAGGGGAAAGAGAATTTCATGAAAACAACAGGAAGATCAGTAGAGGAAAGGGATTGAGGGGTAAAGGCAGAGAGGAAAGAGGGAAATACTAGGGAGTGATGTCAGTCATATTATATGGCTATATTATGTGCATATATAATACGTTATTACAAATACAATCATTATGTACAAGTATAATGTACCAATTAAAAATGAAAAAAGATACAAAAAAATGAGCTACTACTACACATTAGTTATCTGAATTACACAGATACTTTTATTTAAAAATCCAATGAGCAAAGCTGTGATGTTTTAGGATTACCAATTCATTCTAAATAAACAGTAGTAAATATAATTTCTTTTATTCTCCTGTTATTTTGTCATGTTCATTGCTTAATTTTGTTTTTATTTTCATTTCACAAAAAAAGTTAAAGCAGTGCATTTTCATGGAGAAATGGAATGAAACATCAAATGATTTTAGTTTGCTGGGGTTGTTTCCTCAAAACCAAACTGGCCTACTTCTCTTGCTCCTGATCATCTTTGTATTTGTTCTCGCCTGTTTGGGGAACTCAGGGATGACTGCCCTCATCTTCTTGGACCCACGGCTCCACACCCCCATGTACTTTCTCCTCAGCCAGCTCTCCCTCATGGACCTGATGTACATTTCCTCCACGGTCCCCAAGATGGCAATCAACTTCCTCTCTGGCCAGAAGAGCATCTCCTTCCTGGGCTGTGGTGTGCAAAGCTTCTTCTTCCTGACCATGGCTGGCTCAGAAGGTTTAATCCTGGCCTCCATGGCCTATGACCGCTTTGTGGCCATCTGCAACCCCCTCCACTACCCCATCCGCATGAGTAAGAGGTTGTGTGGGAAGATGATCCTGGGGTCCTGGACACTGGGCTCCATCAACTCCATGGCACATACTTTCTATGCCCTGCATCTTCCTTATTGCAGGTCCAGGGCCATCAATCATTTCTTCTGTGATGTGCCTGCAATGTTGCCACTGGCCTGTGTAGATACCTGGGTCTATGAGTACATGGTGTTTGTGAGCACAAGCCTGTTTCTCCTTGTTCCTTTCCTTGGCATCAATGCCTCATATGGACGGGTCCTTGTTGCTGTCTTCCACATGCGCTCAAAAGAGGGAAGAAAAAAGGCCTTCACCACATGCTCAGCACATTTAACTGTGGTGACATTTTACTACACACCTTTTGTCTACACTTACCTCCGTCCCAGGAGTCTCCGCTCCCCAGCAGAGGATAAGATCCTTGCAGTCTTCTACACCATCCTCACCCCCATGCTCA